ACAGTGTTTACTCGTTCCCCCACCAGGACGAGATGTGACACAAGGTCTTTTAAAAGTGGGGACCCGAGCGCGTGCATTCGGGCAAGGGATAAAAATTCCTCACAGCCCCTGCAATCCTCGGAAAAAGGCGTGAAAGTTGTTTCAATATAAAAGTATAAAATATTTGCATGTTCGTGTTTTTACAACTAAATTTTTCTTGACGTGTACTTGTTTGCAGCTGCTTGTTAAGATGAAAATAAATGTGATTTCTTTTCGTGCATGAGTGAGAGTAAAAAACAGATGCAAGGAAGAAAGTGAAGAGGAAAGTGTAAGTGTAAATTTAAGACGAGTGAATGAATAAGGAAATCTCTTTGAAGCCGCGCGGTGTCGCATTATATCCATCTCTATCGCCATATTGATTTTGTCCGTCTAGAAACTTTATATAAATACTATTCAAAGGGATCAAGAAGTAAGTTAAATACTTATTTTCAAAGGATTAAGCAATTGAACGGAAGGAGGCGGGAGTCCTCCGACTTACAAACCATTTTATTGTCATTTGATGTTTGATTTGTTGTTCATATTCATCTTTGCCACACGAGCTTTGTACATCTTATTGTACTAAACGTGGTAAACATAACATATAGGCACTCGTCCTGTACTCGGGAGAGTCACTAAATGATATACGAATCCGTCAGGTACAAGTACTGTCCGCTAACCACTGTAAGGCTGTTTCATACAGACGCCATATTGGCGTCGCTAATATATACCCTATGTTTATTAATATTTTAAACAATGTAAATCCGCCACATACATGCCCTTGGCGGTTTCACATTGACGCCACATAGACATCGCTAAATACATTGGATATGGTTACTATAATTTTAAATAATATACATTCACCACATACAGCTCCTGTCCACTAACCAGTGTAAGGCAGTTTCACCCTGACGCCATATCGATAAATACATTCCGTATGGTTATTATTTTAAATGTTATAAATCAGTTACATACCTGGCCTGTCCACTGACCAGTGTAAGGCTGTTTCACACTGAAATCTTATAGACACATTTAAATACATTCCCTATGATTACTATAATTTTAAATCCTATGAGAGTTTGAATCATTTCTTATAATAAAAAAGGATTTTCCCACAAAAGAAACATTTAGATTTTTTATTTACACTATTTTTTATATTGTTTGTTTGAATGTTTGGCAAAACATTGGCTAATTGCCAGCCGATTCAAACTTTATAAAATGGTAAATAATAATTATTTCCTTATAGTTGGTTCACATATTATAATAATTTAGTAAATACATTCTCTATGATAATTACAATTTTAGATAAGAGGTCGAAGACTATATTATAATAACCAAGGATTTTCCCACATTAAATCGTACTTAATACACAACAGAAGCACCAGACAAAATTTGACAGGAATAATCAATACTGTGGCGAATCCTACACTTATAAATGTTTATATAAGTTTAGTAAACATTCTGGTTTGGTTAACAGTGAGGTGAAATGTTTTGACAAATAACAAGCGTACCATTCCAAATTATGATCGTACTAGGTGGGTGGGGGTTCATAGAAAGAAATCTTTTAATGATACCTACGATTGCTTATCTTTGACTAACTGTTCACTCAGTACAAGGTTCAAGACCTATTCAAGGTAGACGACTACTGAATGAGGTTGTTGGATGAGTGTAATAGGATAAAATTATTTGAAATATAATAATAGTGTCATACCGTGTTAGGCCGTTGGAAAATTGAAGAAATGAATTTAGTCTTGCCGGGTCATATATTTGTTAAACTGACAAGTGTGGTAGTTAGCTGACATACACTGGGTGACGTCTCGTGTGACTGAGCAGGTCATGGTGCCGTGAAATATTTTGAAAAATCACTGGTTTTCAAAGAAATTGAGTCAAGCATAAAAGTACTTGTTCTAACTTAATTTTGAAGTGCTGATTTCACCTACGAAATCCGTTTTCACTTATCGACTTTAGTTGTTGAGATATATATGTATGTCAATATATAGATGTACCTGAATTCAAGGCTGCCAGATGTGTCCTATAGGAATTGTGTCCTTTTAAAATAATGTAATGCCCACCTTTTGCGGCCTATGTTTCCTTGTGGCGAAATTAAATCCTTTTCAAATTCGTATGACCGGTACGATTGACCGTAACTACATATGATCTATGTTTATTTTGTCTCCCAGATTTTGGTGAGCTAATATATATATATATCTACAATGGCTTCAGCATACATCTTCAAGGCAAATTCACTCTGCTAGCCGTGTGGAGATTTCACGACAGGTGCACAGGATCGAACATTTGCTCTCCTCCTGAGAACGGCTTACTTTCATTATCTTGACTAAAATTGGACATCAGGACAGATCCTAGGCCCCACTGTTACAATGGACTAATTGCATGGTTTCATGTCAAGAAAGCAGCCTTCACCTTTGCTGTCCCCGGGGTCTGGAGAGAGCCACAAATCCTCTTCAAATGCATTGGTGAGTCCTAGACTTCTAAATGTTTATATAAGTTTAGTAACAGGCTGCTTTAGATAACAGTGTCGTAAAATATTTTGATAAATAATAAGCGTACAATTCCAAATAATCAGGCGGGTAGGGTTAACAGAAAAGTTTGGTTTGCTTGTTTTACGGCAAATCAACCTCAATGGGTCATTTAATGCCGACAACTTTTTTTTTCCTGGTAATATATATATTTTTTTTGTCAAAAATCCATTTCTGTTAATATTTTTTTTCTCGAAAATGTATAGCTGGTAATATTTTTTCAAAAGCATATAGCTGATAATGTTATTTTTTCAAAAACGTATAGCTGGTAATATTTTTTTTCAAAAACTTACAAATGGCAACGTTATTTTTTCAAAAACGTATTATCAGAGGCCTTGCTGTTGGACGTAGTTTATCGTCATACTCAGGACGGAAAAAAAAAGAAATGATTTAATTACGCCTACGCTTACCAACTCTCTTAAATGAAAATACAGACAAGAGGCTAAGGTTTCCGAACCAGAGTTTTTGGGCAGACAATGTGAATATATTCTCAAATAAGTGAGAGAAAATTAGAGGGGGGGAAAGGGCAGGCATGTAATAGATTCGCTTCAAGGCTAGAGAGACAAGTTTACCCTATAATTTTGCCTATAGCCTGGAATAGTAGTACTAGTCGTAGTGAGACTGAACCCAAATAAAGCAATTATAGAATAAATGATTCCTGAAAAGAATTTCCAGCATAAAGATGCCTTCCAAAAGCTGAGCAAAGTATTAAGAAACAGAAAAAAATTCTTACAAATAAAGAAAAGAGTACTGAATTGTTATGTAGTATCGGTCCACCGCTACGGATGTGAATCTTGGACAATCCCCATATAGATGAAGAAGAGACTTGAAGCAACAGAAATGTGGTTGTACAGAAGGATGCTGAGAATGGCATAGCCCAAACAATTGAGCAACGTCGAAGTTCTAGAGACAACGGCAAGAAAAAGGACATTTAACATCAAGAAGAGACAGTTGAAATTTATGGAACACATGAGAAAAGAGGGATTAGAAAATTTGATACTCACAGGACAGATTGAAAGTCAGCGAGACAGAGAAAAACAAAACATTAAATACTTGGCGAATGAGTGGATGGCGGAGCAAGGTTTGGGAGACAACTTTTATTAAGAGCTAAAAAAGGACAGGAAATTGTGGAGAGCTATGATTGTCAACGTCCTGAAGGGACACGGCAGATTGTTCTTATCTTAGACAAGATTCGCCTCAAGTCTAGAGAGACCAGTCTACCCTGTAATTTTACCTGTAGCTGGTAGTAGTAGTAGTCGTGAATCTGAACCCAAATAAAGTAACTGATTCCTGCAAATAATCTTCATAATACTTGGGATTGGGGCGCTGCAGCATATAGGACACCCCTGAAAAATCACCTTGTGCCACACAGTCAATGTCAAGGTTGGGATTGGCGAATCCTTCCAGGTTAACAAGCCAGGAAACTTTAGAATTAATAAGTAAACCTGAGGGTCATCTGTCATTTTCCCGGGGGTTAGGAAATGGGTTTTCTACAGTCTAATCACCGCTGAAAACACCGGTTCTCGTTCGATCACCAATTGTCGAACGAGGTCAATAGTTTTGGAACATTGGGTACTGTAAGCAATAAATAACCCATAAAAGGTTGATAAACCGTAAAAAAAAACATATCGATCAATCAATGGGAGAAGGCATTTTTGAAGGAGGTCGGATATATTCGGAATCTATTTTAATATCAATTTTCATGAGCACCATCAAATAATGAGGCAGTCTTTTTATTTTTATTTATTTTTTATTTTTTGGTTGGTTGATTTACATGCCAACTCTTGTTGGCTTATTTAATGCTAAATTTTGTATGTGGCACCTAGTGAGGATCAAACTCACTGGTAATGATCAACCAGACCAGCCTGGTTAATCATTACTCTACACTAAGAAAGATTGTTTGATTTTACATGTCAACCCTTGTTGAATCGCACTTCCTGCTTGTGGAACACACTTCCGGCTTCTTGCTTTTCTGTTAAGTTTTATCTTTAAAAATTTAAATGCAATGTCAATCGTTATCTACTGTCTTCCTGATTACTCTTCTATTGTTCTCGCTTGTGGAACTCTCTTCCGGCTTCTTGCTTTCCTGTCAACTTTGATCTTTAAAAAATTAACTGCAATGTCAATCGTTATCTACTGTCTTCCTGATTACTCTTCTATTGTTCTCACTCAATTTTCGCTTGTGGAACTCTCGTCCAGCTTCTTGCTTTCCTGTCAACTTTGATCTTTAAAAATTTAAATGCAATGTCAATCGTTATCTACTGTTTTCTTAATTCTTGTTCTTTTATTGTTCTCTCTCGTTTGTAGCATATTTTTCTCATCCTCTAGCAATCGGTAACTCCTTACGTCTTAGCGGCTTTATTGTCTTGCTTGGGATGAAATGATTAAAAAAAATATCGGTTTTGAAGATTATAAAAAATGATTTTTCGTCTTTTTTGTATTTCCCAGAAACCACAATGACTTCTTATCGGCATCTACGACGTCGTCTTCTGCTATTGTCCTTCATCACGGTGTCAGCGTTCGCAGTCTTCAGCTACATTTCCTCTCCTCCGCAGATGGTGACTATCTGGAATAAACTAACCAAACAACGCCTCGACTGGAAACCTCGTATATTTAAGCAACCACCCGCAGATCCGAAATTCTGGGTGTTAATGGCCGCTGTGTATTCATTACCAGAAGAAACAATAATGCGTAAGGCTGTGCGTGAGACATGGGGTCAGTACCTCAGTACGGCTTCAAAAAGTCAGCTTTTGTTTTTTATTGGTCAGTCCAATGACAAAAGCATCAATGACAAACTGTTGGAAGAAGAGAAAATCTATCAGGACATCGCACGACTAGATTTCATTGACTCGTTCAAAAATCAATCCTTAAGGTCTATCAAGATCTTTCAGTGGATCGTCGATAAAGGAATTCAGGTCCAGTTCCTGTTGAGGGCGGACGTCAAAGCTTTTGTCAACATTCCAAAAATGGTTGACCTAGTAAAAGGGATTAGGACCAAAAGATACATGCTGGGCCAAGTAACGGAGAAGACAGTGCCAGACAGAGATAAGAAGTCGGCGTGGTATGTATCGACTGATGAATACGCCGAAAAAGAATATCCCCGATACTTGCAAAGTTACGGCTACCTCATGACGGGTAATTTGATTGAAACTCTGTTGGAAACGGACAAACTTGAGAAACGTTTTTGGATTGAAGATGTGTACATTACGGGTATTTTAGCAAAAAAGATCAATGTGGCTGTAATTCATACAAACCATTTCACCAATAGCAAACCAGAAAAAAAATGTGACTATCCTAGAGTTATCGTCTGCTTGTGTACGCCAACATACGACGCCATGAAAGACTTTTACGCAAAAGTTGAAATGCCAGACGAAAGCTGTATGTTTTAGGGAAACGTTTTATTTATTTATTTTTTTTTAATTTCTGATATATTATTATTATTTCTATACATTGATTTTTCTCGGGACCAGCGTCCTTATCCTTGGTGTCTTTATAACAAAGCTTTGGCCACTAAACACTCCAGATTTCATGTCAGAAACAAGGTGTTTTTAGTATTATATAACGATTTATTCGGATTTCTTTCGTAATTCTTATTTGGCCAAAGGTGAATTCAGTTTGACTCAAGTTTTTACCACATGCAAAATTGAAGGGGACTCAGTATCTAATCTCTCATTCATTCTTTATGCCTCTTGTCTCTTTGGGGAACATAGGGCCGCAACAACACCTCTCCAGCGGATGCGGTTCTGGGCGATCTTCTTCAGCTCGGCCCATGTCGTTCCGGCTGCCTTCACCTCTACGTCAACACTTCTACGCCATGTCTGTTTTGGTCGACAAACCTTTCGCTTCTCTTGTGGATTCCAATTAAGGGCCTGCTTGGTGACATTAGAAGCAGGTTTGCAGAGTGTGTGGCCAATCCATCCCCATTTCTGTTTCTTGATGTCATTCTCAATTGGAGCTAGTCTTGTCCTGTCCCGCAGTTGGTCGTTGGAGACGACTTCCGGTCCCCTGATAATCAGGATGTTGCTGAGACATCGGGTAGTAAATGTCTGAAGGGTTCAGTTCAGAATTCACTGTAGGTTACCCAGATCGCTATACACTTGAGGAAGGCCGGAGGGCATAACGACAGAAATGTTGTTATAACAACCACAAAGATGAAGATAATAGTCCGAATATTCGTTATACCTTTTAATTCCTTGGGCCGCAAAACCACCTCTCCAACGGACGCGGTTCCGGACGATTCCTTCAGCCCGGCCCATGTTGAGCCGGCTGCCTTCCCTGGGGGGGGGGGGTCACCAGCACGCGTCATGCGCTTGAGGTCCAGGGTGTGTTTTTCGTCTGGCTTCTCCCCCACAGACATGTTGAGCTTGGTTGGACCTGCTAATGACCGAAGCCTGCGCCTACATAGCTCTGGGGTTGTCGAAACACTCAAGCCGTCATACTACGTCAAGGCGACACAGCATCAGGACTGATCTAATCTCTTGGTGTATATTTTCATTCCCTTCACCTATCATGGGTGTTGTCTTTCCTTGGGAATACCAATCAGAACCTTTATTTAATACCTGGGTTACTCGCATTATTTACATTATTTGGACTGTTATCCTCATCTTCATTGCCATATTCACAATGTTTCAGTCGTTGTACGCTCTGGCCTTATTCAGGTGATTGGAATTTGGAATCAAACCCTTTATTTCGTCCACCCGGGGTATGTTGTTCTAGTTCCACGTGCCATGCATCTTCCGGATGTCTCAGTTATTTCCATTTAACTCGACTCTCTAAGATTTTGGTTCACCACTGCTGTGGCCTGGTATTGAACTCACAACTCTTTGGGTCTACTCACTGGATCTAACCAACGTTTTTATTCGTCCTTGAAGAAGGCCGAATCGTACAACGACCGAAACGTTGTGAATATAGCAATGAAGATGAGGATAACAGTCCGAATAATGTAAATAATGCAAGTAATCAAAATACCTCATCTCAGAGACATAGACAAACATAATTCTCTTTATATAGGAAACATTAACGAGTCTCAATACAATTTGTAACAGAGGAAAATGAAGAAACGAAAAAACAATTTAAAAATCATTCTTTTATATAAGTAATAAATTATATAATGAGAAGAGTGAATTCCACGTGCCATGCCTCTTCCAGGTGTCTCAGTTATTTCTCTTTAGCTCAACTCTCAAAGTTTTGGGGCACCACTGCTACGGCCAGATATTGAACTTATAGCTCTTTGGGTCTAGTCACAGGATATAACCAACGTCTTTATCCACCGAAACGTTGTGAATATGGCAATGAAGATGAGGATAACAGTCCGAATAATATAAATAATGCAAGTAATCTTTATACCTCATCTCAGAGCTATAGACAGATATATAGAGAGACATAAAGGCCAGGGCGTACAACGGCCGAAACGTTGTGAATATGGCAATGAAGATGAGGATAACAGTCCGAATAATGTAAATAATGCAAGTAATCATAATACCTCATCTCAGAGATATAGACAGATACCTGGCTGTATATTTTTTCTTACCTGCCATTTCTCCTGTTCTCTCTGCCATATTTCATCACTCGTTGACTCCATTGCCTGTTATGATGCTAGTCTGTGTTCAATCCCTGTGACTGGTAGAACAAATGTTAACACCAACTCAGTAAAATTGCATACCTGCATTATTAGAGAGAATTTGTGGTTAAAATTTCTCAAAGTTCCTCTGGTGTAACGGATAAAGGCATGAGAAGATGTTGCCCTGTAAGTAGGTTTCTCTTATTCTTCCTGGTTTGCAAGAGATTCAAGAATGCGACAGCTGAAGAAATGAATACGTCTGAAAGATGGTGATAAAAACAACAATGACAAGGAGACTCATTTGAGTAAATTTACGCAAAACACTACCTCGCCTCTTCAATCCATACAGCATAGAGGCCGGAGAGTATAGCGGCCGAACATTTGTGACTTTGACAAGGAAACTGATCTGAAAGAATCAACGTATATCATATTTCTCATATTCTAAGACGCATTTTTTTTTCATAAAAAATGTCCTTAAAGATTACTTTGTCTTAGAACTGAAAGATCAAGTTGTCGTCAGAAATTTGCCAACCCTCATGAACGCTTGTCACGAGAAAATCACAAATCCCAGACTGATAATATATCTACGACAGAAAAACCACCCGCATTTTTAATGTCGACAAAAAGACTAAAGTATGTGCTATTAATAAAAAAAATATTTCATTGTTGTTTAAACAAAAGACTACAGTTTTTATTCATTTTGTTTTAAAAATGACATTCTCAAAATGGCGGCCTCTATTCACCATACGATGTTGTAGACGGTTTCTAAAGTTTTCCATCAAAGGTCGAGCGCTTCGGGATCTTCCATATGGTTTTCTTTTAAGCGCTGAACCTGTGACCCTAAAATTCTCAACCCATAACTGTATCGATTTCCTCTTCGGAACAGCATGAAATGGGCACGAACGGCTTTCTGTGTTGCGATCACAGATTCACCAGTCTTTTAAAAAAAAAACGTTTTAACAACAACTGCACGGTGTGCGCCTGTTCAAACTATGAAAATAACTGATCCTATCTGAAAAGAAATGGTAAGATCTTAGATGAAAACTCCATTGCCTAAGTTCACTAGAAGTATATAGGTAACAGTTTAAAATGTGGGGGGTATTTCTACTGCACCCTGTATAAGCCTACAACTATCATTCATATGTAATAAATATCATATATCCCGTTATCATTATACAATATTGGTTTTATTGTTTGTGTAAAACATGAAGCAGCTCCGTTAGCTAAGCTGGTTTTTGTGGCCCTATCATTCACCATCCATGATCTGGTAGCTGAGCGTAGTTCAAATGATAAAACAGGCTTTTGACCAATAAATTTAGTGACAGCTCTTCACCAAACAATAGAAAAATGTTAATATTTAACAGCTCCCCCCCCACGAGGGATATATGTGGCACGTAGGCTCGGCCAAAAATATTCCCTTAGAACTTGCATAAACGGGTTCAGGGTCAGTCTACCTCCCCGGAGGAAACTTTGCCCTACGGCAAAACCTCGTCCGGGTTCCTCTCTGCCAAAGACAGAAAGTTCGACAGTTGAACATTCTAGCAGTGTTCCCAAACAGTAGAAAAATGTTAATATTTAACAGCCCCCCCCCCCACGAGGGTGTATGTGGCACAAGGCCGGTTTATTGTGGGTACTCCGAGCCCGTAGGCTCGGCCAAAAATATTCCCCTTGAACCCGTCTTAATGAATTCAGGGACTGTCTACACCCCCGGACGAAACTTTACCCTACGGCAAAGCTTCATCCGAGTTCCTCTCTGCCGAGGCAGAGAGATCGGCAGAAATTAACAGTTTTGGCACTGTCCCCAAACAATAGAAAAATGTTCACTGAGGAAAAATTTCAGTAAACTTAAATAATGCCTCAAAGAGTTAAACCCACTTTGGCAGGAAGGGAGACAAGCCTGCTACTGCTATTGCTTAGAACAAATCCATTAAACTGAGGAGCAGGTATCTAATATCTTCAGACATTTGTTAGCCAAGGATGGTGAGTTCAATCCTAGGTAGAACCACAAGAGTCAGCATAGTTAACAATTATTATGTAAAAAAAAATCTTACAATATGAAAATATTTCCTGTCTTTAAATAACCCACAAAGGGTTGATAAGTTGTAAAAAATGAATAAAAAGAAAACTAATACAGGTGATAGATGAGGGGTTATAAAACCATCAATATCAACTTGATTATATGTTTCCCGATGAACTAAATTATATGTGCCCAATTCATCAAACTCAACTAACATGGGGACTTGGTATCAACTACAGGGATCATCTACATTAGGGAATCCCGGACCATCAATCCCTTCGGGAAATATTTGATTTCCCGCCAATGACCAGGCATTTACAAGTATGAATAATTATTTTATTTTATTTAGAAGATAAAATTTCCTTTTCCCCCGACTTCCTTCATCATTATTTCTTATTAAGATTCCTTTTAGCTTTTATATTTTCTTATTTTTTTTAATTTCTTTTCTTATACAAGACATGTTTGTTCATATAATTATTGAAACTGGGCGACATCACTTCACCAAACAATAGAAAAATTCACCCTGAGGAGAAATTTCAATAAATTTAATAATGCCTGTCTATATCCCCGATATAAGGTATTTTTGATTACTTGCATTATTTACATAATTCGGACTGTTATCCTCGTCTTCATTGCCATATTCACAACGTTTCGGCCGTTGTACGCTCCGGACTTCTTCAGGATCTGTCTATATTTTTGAGAAGCGGTATTGTAATTATTTACACTATTTACATTGTTCGGACTGTTGTCCTCTTCTTTGTTGTCATATTCACGACGTTTCGGACGTTGTACGCTCCGGCTTTCTTCAGGAT